CCGCCCCCTATATTCTAAAAAAGATCTGCTCATATTCTTAAAACCTTCTATTGGTTCTCACAAGCAACTTTATTAAATTTTTTCAATTTTTTATTGGATTTATGGGGAGCACCAGACCCTTGAACACTTACCATGTCCCTAATGTTACATAAAAAAAGTTTTTCAAAAGTATGTCATGTTGGGTCTCAAAAGAAGCGAAATTATATAAAAATTTTTAAAAATAACAATCATTTTATAAAAAAGTTATTAATTTAGAGTTTTTTTTGCAAAAAAATAACTTTTTTTAACCTAAAAATGAAAGAAGTGTATTTTTTTGATAATTATTTAAAAAAAATTTTTAAATAATAATTTTGGATGTCACACCCTAATATATATATATATATATATATATATATATATATATATATATATATATATATATATATATATATATATATATATAATATATATATATATACATATATATATATATATATATATATATATATATATATATACACTTTTGAAATAATTATTGAAATAAAAAGCTATCTGGGTTTCAGTACAAAAAAAGTAGGTGAATGTGTATCTATATGTGCTATAGTAAAAATAATTTTTAGTTATAAAAATGTTTAGTTATAATATTCTATAATTCATTTATAAGCGTTTAATTATAATATTTTATATATATTGCTTATTTTATAGATTGCATGTTTTTGTTTTTAATAATTCTTTAAATTGACAACCTATTTATTTTACTAGGATGTCATTAAAAATATTTTATGATGCAATGTCACAACCATCGCGATCTGTGCTTTTGTTTTTGAAATGCACAAAAATACCATATGTACCTGTTTTAGTTGAAATTGCAAAAGGTGTGTTTATTATCAGTACGAAAAGGTTTTGTTTTGAGTGAAAGTTTATTATTAATTTTTTTTTTTGTTATTTATTTCTTGTTATTATTATTTAGTCTTGTCCTTTTTCTGTGACTATTCCTAAATATTTGAGTTCCTAATAAAATTTTGTATGAATTTTTAGGTGGCACAAGAACAGCAGAATATAAATTGATTTCACCATCGCAAAAGGTACCTGCTATGCAGGATGGAGACTTCTTATTAATGGAAAGGTTTGAATCATTATTTTTAAACTTTCATGTTTAATAATCTTTTTTATAAAAACATTTTCATTTCATCCTAAAAGAATCTGAAAAAAATCCTCCATAAAAGAATCTTCCTAAAATTTATTACAAAATATCTTTCCTCTATCTTTTGCAATTTTCCATTTTTGTACATTTGCTTCTTAAAAAGACCATTTTTAAAAGACCATCTTTAAATGATGTTCATAATAATGATGTCTTCACTAACTCTTAAATTTTAACATTATTTCAGATCAATATTCTCTAGTTTTATTTGAATTTCTTATATACCATCTGATCATCACTTGTGTTTTTTGAAATTTCTTCACTATAAAAGCTTTTTCAGTAGAGCATGTTTTTCAGTAGAACATGTGTTGTTTAGTAGAACATTTTTGTGGATATGCTTATAATTTTTTTATCTTAAAGAAATCGAGAAAAAGCAAAAAAAGAAATTACAGGTACTAAAAAAAAAAAGAAAATACAGGTACTAAAAAAAAAAAAGAAGCATATCAACCCAATTTTTGTTTTATTTTTACCTTTTTCTATTTTTATTAAAAACTAATTAAATCCACTACATTCCTTTCACATCTTCCTTCTGTTTTATTTTTTCTTCCAGTTTTTACACCTTATTTATCTCATTATTTTTTTTAATTAATAGCTATGCTACTAATAGTTAAGATGAACATAATTTTTAGTTCTGCCATTCTAAAGTATTTATGTGAGACAAGAGATGTTGATAGTCATTGGTACCCTAAAAACCAAATGGAACGAAGCAAAGTTGATGAATATTTAGCATGGCATCATTTAAACTTGAGAAGTGGTGCATCTGGGATTGTTTTTAAATCTGTAACAGTTTTTGTTTTTTATTTTTTGCAACTTTTAATTAATGCTTTTTTTTTTTTTTAAACTACTATTTTTAATTTGTTTCAGATCTTTAAACCCATGTTGACTGGCCAGCCTCCTTCAGATGTTACCTCAGAGCTAAAACTTTTTCAAAAGTCTTTAGAAATGTTTGATTCATATTTTTTAAAGAATACATTATATATATCAGGCAATGAAGTTTCTATTGCTGATCTTTTGGCTTTGACTGAGTTTTCACAACTAGAGGTTTTGTATAAACTTTTCCTTTTAAGCAGTTTTAAAACTCAAAAAGTTATTAAATTTGTTATTAAAACGAAAGTTTTTCTCTCTCTTTTCCTTAATAAATTTCAATATTCAGAAAATATATTTTATAATTAGTGTTGTGAGTATATTAATAAAGCAAGGGTTCAATACTAATATTAACAATATCAAGAAATACGTAAGAAGAACTTGAGAAATACAAAAAAAAAAAAAAAATATCAAGCAAAATATTTTACTTAATAAAAGATTTGGGAATATAAGGTTTACTAATACTTGCATAAACATGGAGCAGCTAATATAACATAATATGATTATATAATCATATATAAAATATATCAAGTAAAATCATATGATAAATTAATATGAAAATTAATATGCTCATGCACATAGTTTAAATCTTTAGCAGACAAAAAAATATTACTTACATTAGCTGCTATGCCTTGTTTACTTTATATAATATACTTATTCCAAGCACAGTTAAAAAGTGGTTATGATGAACATATTTTACTATTATAATATTCAACAGAACTTTACCTAAGTTGTTGTGTTGTTTAACAGGACTTGACTTAAATTATGAAGTTATTCAGCAGAACATTTCAAATGTAAATTATCAAAAAATTCAACAGGATTTTTTTATCATTATCAAGAGTTTAACAGGACTCATCTAAATTAAACAGGATAGTGATCAGCTAAATTAAAAAAGTTTAATTTTTAATTTGGTTGTAAAATGCTTGCCATTTTTTAAGATGTCCATTACTCACCGAAATTACCAAGTTATGTAAGATTTCTTTGCCGAATCTTAAAAAAAAAATCAACAAAAATCAATTGAAAACCAAGTTCAAAATATTGATGAAGTTTTAGAGACATTTCGAAAAACCCAATTAAAAATTTTGGTGCATCTCAAGGTCGGAATTAATGTGGTTGTTATTTATAAATACAGTAGTTTTAAGCACTTTGCATTTCTTGTTGTTAAATGAAGGGTGTTAAAAATATATATAAATAAAAAGTTAATTTGTTTAGCTTTCTATCAATATATAGTTTGTAATACTTTAAAAGAGATTTACTATTTGAGCTTGAATTACTTTGCAATGTTATGTCATTCAAACTCTAAAAAAATGTGCGCGAAGTTTTTTTGTTAAAACTGCTGGTAGGGAATGAGATAAGCTTATCTTACGAAAAGTAAACAAAAATGATGTCTGGTGGAAAGAAAAGAAAAGTAGATAAAGAGGATTGCTATTTTCAAGAAAATGGACTGAAGAATTTTTTTTTATCTTGCACAATGGTAAGCCTATTTGTTTGCTTTGTAATGAATCAATTTCAGTGATGAAAGAATTTAATATAAAGAGGAATTACTCAACTAAGCATCCTACGCTTCACTCACTGACTGGTCAAACAAGAAAAAACGAAATCCAAAAACGATAAAGTTGTGTAAGCTAGTTTTATAGTTAGTTCAAAATTGGCAAATTCATTAAAACCATTTGTCGAAGGAGAATTTATCAAGGAGTGTATGTCAGAAATTTGTAGTATTTTGTGTCCTGAAAAAAAAAGATATTTTGAAAAAATTATTTTGTCAAGATGAACTGTTGTCCGACGTATAGAAATAATGGTTAATGATATAAAATTAAAATTGACTGTAAACTGTATGGCTGGTTTTGAGTCATTTTCAATAGCATTAGACGAGAGGACTGATTTGTCAGACACAGGTCAACTGGCTGTATTTATTCAAGGTGTTGGTAAAGAGTTCACTTTAACTGAGGAGTTGCTTGCTATACAGCCACTAAAAGGAACCACTAGAGGAGAGGACATTTTTAATGAAGTTCAAAAGGTACTTACAAGTTTTGGCTTGCAATGGTCAAAATTAGTTGGAGTATGCACAGGCGGTGCACCTTCTATGGTCTGCTTACGTAAAGGTTTCATTTGATTTTTGAATGAAAAAGCAACTGAATTAAATGTGCAAAAACATGATTTATTTATTATCCACCAGCATTATCCACCAACATAACTTGTGCTCTAAGTCCGTTCGACTCCAGAATGTTATAAATGTGGTCATAAAAAACCATCAATTTTATTCAATCCCGAGGGCTTAACCATCGTCAGTTCAAGGCGTTTTTGGATGAACTATCAACTGAATATGACAAAATAACATTATTGTGAAGTCAGATGGCTAAGCAAAAGGAAAATCCTGAAACGCTTCTATGAGATGAGAAATGCGATTGCAGATTTTATGCAAATAAAAGATATATGAACCACTATATGAATTGAGTGACCCACAATGGATATGTGACTTAGCTTTTCTGGTTGACCTTATAGGCTATTTGAATAATTTAAATTTGAAACTTTGAAAACAAGGTCAGTTGGTACATGATTTGTACAGACATTTGGAAGATTTGAAAGTAATATACAAAATGCTCCTATACACTTGCAAATGAAGTTAATCGAGATTCAAGAAAATTTACTTTTAAAATCTAAATTTGAAGACGTGGAATTGTGCAATTTCTAAAAAAAATAGCTCAAAGAAGACCGATTTCCGGAGCTTAGAAAATATGCAAGAAGATTGATTTGTGCATTTAACAGTACTTATAAATGCAAACATCTCTTTTCAATGATAAAAGTTAATAAATCAAAACATCGCACAAAGCTGACTGACGTTAATTTAGAAAATTCTTTACGTCTTTGTTTTAGTGGAATTATTCCAAACATTAATGAATTTGTTTCCCAAATTCAAGCTCAGGTGTCTCATTGATTTCAGCATCGCTAATTTAATTATTATGTTGAATCTATTTTTTTTATTTAATTTTGTTATTTGAATAAATTGTATTGCAATAGCAATGAATTATTATTTCATGTCTGGTATATATCATTAAAAATTATGACTTACTTCATTAAAGTACTACTTTAAAATGTGGTACTTTTAAACGCGGTCTGCGAACGTATTTACACTCTATAGTTAGGCTTACACCATGTCAAAGGTTGCCCATACCTGATTTTTTTTTTTTTTAATTATTCACCTACCCAAGGCCCGAAGGAGCCCCTACAGTCAAGGAGGCTATTCATTTTTTTTTTTTTTTTTGTTGTAAATTGTGGTACAACCCTCTCTCAACTCTTTAACTCCGAAACACGAACCTTGACAAGCAAGGCCGCTGTGCAGAGAAATTAAGTTGAGTACCGTACTTCCAGGGACGTGGTGGGAGTCGAACTCCGAACCTCTCGCTTACAAAGCGAGCGCTCTTACCACTACACCACTACCGCATGAATTTATAGTATTAAATTTAAATTTTTTTTAAAGCACTTAATTTCAATACTTTTAAAAAATTTTATTTGCAATACTTTGACTTGAAAAATTAATTTTGAACTAAATTTAGAACTAAATTGTTCTACTGCTTTATAGAATTGTTTTTTTTTAATGTTGAGGCCAAGTTAACTCTTACTTAAAATACCTATTAGTTTTAGGCTCATGTTGAGTAAAAGCTAGAGATAGTGTCTCAATGAAAATACAAATCTAGTGTAAATGTAAGGGCTGGTGTAAATGTAAACCTGTGATAAATTGTTTCCTGCCTTGAATGATTATTATTGGATTTTCTTCTTATGGAGGTTCTACTCTTAACAAATAACAAAGTTTCACAATTGATATGTAAGTATATGCAAAGGCCAAACATGTGACTATTGGAGTTTTAGTAAATCAATGCCATTAACTCTGAGATCCAAAGATGAAACAAAATAAAATCAGTTTTACAATGTTTGCTTGTGCCTCTTTGTTAATGGCTATGCAATTCCTCCTGTTATACACTTGTGAGGGTACAGCTTCAAAACTCAGTTTAATGGTTCTGAGGCCTGCTGGTAGTAAACCTTGTGTAGCTCTCAGAGAGGCTGATTTCATCAACAGGTGTAAAATATCACAGGATTAACAATGCAAATTGCACATAAAAATATGTCCCTGTTAGTGCTTATGGTGTGCATTTCCAAGGCCACATATGGAGCTTTTTGTTACAGGTTAATTAGCAAGACTAAGACAACTACATTGTTTACTATGATTAAGTCAAGTTTCTTATAACTTAAAAGATTATCACCAAAACCTAATAGTATCAATCTTTTACGAATAAAAAAGTTTAAATGGATTGTTCCCATTATGCAATCAAGTTTCTATGGATTGTTTAATTATGTAATCAAATTTCTATAGATTGTGCGATTATGTAATCACATTTCTATGGATGTGCAATTATGTAATCACATTTCTATGGATTGTGCGATTATGTAATTACATTTCTATGGATTGTGCGATTATGTAATCACATTTCTATGGATTGTGCAATTATGAAATATAAAAAAATTTAAAAGTTTTTAAGATTTAAGTCAAACTGAAACTTAAAAGATTTTTATGTAAAGAAAACTTTAAATTTATTTATATATTCATTGAAAGTTCATAAAACACCATTTTTGGTTTCTGTTTACTTTTTTAAAAAGTTTGATATTTAAAATATAAAACATTGAAAATAATAACATTTGTGCAACTAAACATGTTTTTTAAACTAACATCTTCATTATGTCTATTTACTTTATCCATCGGCCAACATTGTTGTTTTTGCTGGCTAAATAAGACAGAACTATTTGCAAAGAAGTTTCTCTAATTTGTATCTAGAATCTAATGACCACAGTCTTCCTTTCATCCCAAAGAAACTTATATTACTTTTTTCTATTTCTAAATAATTTTTTTTTTAAACTCATCTCCTGATCATGGTCTAGATAACGTTCTTGTCATAGTCTTATAATACCAATTTTTCAGAACTCCCTTCAATACTCTCTTAAAAATTTACCGAACCTTGTTTTCCTGCCTGCTGGAAATGGCATCACTGGTTCTAATTTTTTAAAACTCTGAAGAACACTCTAGCCTCTCCAACCATCATCCTATCAATTAGTAGCAATTATTATTATCATATATTTATCATTATATAGTCTATTATTAGCAAGGCCTTTGAGTCTTTAATTAACAAATTTCTAGTATGTCTTACGATCATACACCTGACTCTATTTGCTGACAACACAACTATATACTTTATTTTGACAACACAACTATATACTATATATTTGCTTTGACAAAATATCATCACTTTTTAATCTTTTAGAACAATCAGCTCAAGAATTGTTGCGTAAATCTTTGAAATAAAAGTTAAAAACAACTCAGGTAAAAGCAAAGTTAAGAGGAAAATAAGGGAAAATATTTTAATGTATTTTACCCAAACAATTTTCCAGATTTTTAAAACATGACCTGGATGATCTCTATGAATGGCAACCCTCTCACTAAGTCCTCTAGTTTATGTCTTTTCTGATTATCATTAACTACTAATCGCTCATGGAAACCATATATATCCATAGAAAAATTATCATCTGCTAAAGTTGGTTCTCTTTATTGCCATAGCCATTTTTTTATATCTGATTCCATTTTCAAATCTTTTAAAAATTTATTATTTGTTCCTGTTGGAAAAATGCTGCCATGTTTTGGCTGGTTCTTTTAAAAAAACCCTTTCTATTCAAGACCCAAAAAAATATAGTTAATTAGTTAAAGGTGGTCTAGGTGCCATGCTTGAGCCTGTGCCACATTGCAGTAAGATTGTACCTCTTTCTCTTTTCTACAAATACTGTCATGGTTGCTACTGAAACAAGCTATTATCTCTTGTTCCATTAAACAAAACTCAATTTTCAACTACTTAAGTGAAAAACTAAAATCTTGTGTGACTTCATTTTTTCACTTAAGTTGTTGAAAATATTAAACCTAATGCATTATTTTTATATAAATTTTATAGTTCAACATTTTTAATAATATTATTACAAGAAGTAACAATACAAAATACAATTTTGAATGATCATTATTATAAGTGATTACTATTAAAGTATTATTATTGAATAGATATTGTAAATAATTCCATAAAAAATGTTAATGCTTTTTAATTGAATAAATTTATTTTTAGTTTTTGATTTTAACACTAATATTTTTATATTTAGCTGTTAGGTGAAAAGTCTCCTGCATTGACAGATAAAGTTAAAGATTGGATGAATCGATGTATTAAAACAACAGAGCCACATTATTCTGATGTTCATAAAATTCATCTGAAATTAAAAAATAAATTACTATCTCAACTTTAGAGATATTTTTTTGAAGAGATAATTTTTGAAGTTTTGTATAAAAGAAACCTGGTTTTTATTAATGAAATAGCAGGTTTAGGTTAACATTTTATTAAAGAGATGTTTTTTGATTTTCTTTTTGTATTAGAACCAACATGTTGCCTGCTGATGTAGGCATACTTAAACTATCTATGTATGTACTGAAGTTAATACTAATGCTATTTTCAGTAGCTGACCTTTATGGTTTAGTTAGCTGACCATATAAGAATATATATTTCTTACTATTAAATTGGGAGGTTTTATAGTTTTTTATTTTCTCTTAGGTAATTTTTTTTTCACCACAGCTAAGCTGCCTCACCTACTCCAATTTATATATATATATATATATATATATATATATATATATATATAAATATATATATATATATATATATATATATATATATATATATATATATATATATATATATATATATATATGTATATATATATAAAATAAAAATTGGACAGAACAATGGAGTCACATTCTTATCTTATGAAAACCTAATAGTATCAATCCTGTTTCTACAAGGAAGTGACGCTACATTAATTGAGGGTTAGGTTGGGGCAGGTAGTCTATCAAATAACAATAAAAGCAAAGTTTTTAAACTTTTTCCAATCTTTAATACAATTTTTTTTAAAAAAACAACATAAAACTGACCTTTAAGTTTTAAACTGAAACTTTAAGTTCTTATTCCTTAATTACATCTCGAGCAGTAGCAAAGGAATGCTTTTTCACAAAAATCTACAATCAGTAGTTTTTGATGTTTTTTTGGGAAATGAACCCCATTGTGCTTGGTTTGGACAGTGCCTTTAACTTTGCATCTACTGATCCATCAGTTGATCACTAATTTTTCCATATTATACTTGATAGATAGTTCATGTTGTTGAACTCTATTACTAAAATTACTAAAATCAGTAATGACTTTTTGCTTTAAGGTACTATATTTATTTCTGGCCATTATTTAATCCTAAAATGTTAGAACTATATATCAAGGTTATTTTTGTAATAGAATGATATTTTAATAATAAAGTTGCACTTTCAAAACAAAATAACTAATATAAGATAAGAATATTTTCTACTTTAAAGTAGAAAAGTGAATTTAAATTAAATATATTTTTGCGGTTAGATTTTTGTTTACTTTAATTTTATTGTCAAAGTTGTTTTTGTTTTGAAGTTTATTCAAATATTTCTAGTTTCTAATACAGGTATTTTGAATGCAATTTATAACTTTTTTTGGTGTGAAATTTTCATTTTTGGTTCATTTTTAATAGCTTAAAGAGTGTCAAATGTTACGACTGCCAATCTCTTGGAAAAGCCCATATATGTGTGTATATATATATATATACATATATATATATATATATATATATATATATATATATATATATATATATATATATATATATATATATATATATATATATATATATATATATATATATATATATATATATATATATATATATATATATATATATATATATATATATATATATATATATATATATATATATATATATATATATATATATGTACAAAAGATTATGTGGACAACAACAAAATAACAGTTATAGGAACACTAGCTGATATGCTATAGTTATCAAATTTAATGGTATACTTATGAAAATCATTTTATGGTCATAAAATGATTTTTATATATTTAGAAAATAAAAATATTAGCTCTGTATGCAACTAATAAAAATGTGCTAATCATATAAAATGTCACTATGAAATGAAGAGCAAAGCATTAAATTATTCAAAGAACATCAGTCGTGTGGCAGTATTTGTGTTTCTTTTACAATGGAAAATGATGAATTGCCAATTAAGGTTTGATTTTTTGTGATTGGTTATTGCAAAAATACAGTGGGTTGCCAAATTATTAGGGACACTTTACTTTTTAAATAATTTTAAAGTTTAAACTACTTTAATGAATATATATCTTGTAGTTATTTTTAAACATTGTTTTTATTGTTAGAAGGTTTTAGAATATAAAACAACATAATTTTTTATTCATAGCTATCTATTTTTTTATAAAAAGTTTCAACATAACAAATAAGGTAATAATCCTAATATTTTGTAATGCCATCCTTTGCTACAATGACAGCTTTCAGGCGTCGGGGCATGCTTTCTATGCAAACTTTTGCATTGTGTTGGAGACTGGGGTTGTTATGCCACTCTATTATAAGGGTTTCTATCAATTGCTGCTTAGTAGTGATGATTTCTTTGGCAATTTCCCGTTTTGTGAACTCCCACAGATTTTCTATGGGGTTCATATCAGGTGAATTCCCTGGCCATGGCAAAACACACAAATTTTTTTCAGTTAGGAATGCTGTAACACTTCTAGCTTTATGACACGGTGCTGAGTCATGCATGAACATGTACTCTTCATTATCAGCAAACCATTCTTGGACCTGGGGCAGGAGACTGTTTTCCAGTATTTGCTTGTACTGATCCTGCCTCATGGTCCCATCCACAATGTAGAGGCAGCCCATACTCTTGGCTGAGATCACAAACCACACTATTACACTCACAGGATGTTTAAACTTTTCTGAAAGGCAGTCCTGGTGAAATTTTTCTCCTGGGCGTCGTCGAACAAATGAGCTTTTGTTCATCAAAATTTGAAATATTGACTCGTCCGAGAAGCAGACCTATAAAACATTACAAAGATATTTTAAGTTATAATCCTATAATTTTTCTGGTTTCTTACAATATTATAAATTATATTTACTCTATTCCAGTCTTCAATAGTCATATGCCAGTGTTTTCTAGCCCAATCCAGTCGCTTTTTTTTCATGGCTTCAGTTAAACGTGGTTTTTTTGTTGGGCGACAACCCATTAAATTCTCTTCAGCCAACCTTCTTTGAACAGTCCTTTTGGAGATGTTAATTCCTTCATTGCTTATCATTTTAGCTAGTTGAGCCACACTTTTTTTCCTGTTTTTAAGACAGATGTCCCTAATTTTACGGTCACAACGTGGAGTAGTGATCCTTTTTCGGCCACTTTTGCCGACGCGGTCTGGTTCTAAAGGCACATTTGTATCGATTTTTCTTTTAATTCGGCTCACTACTGACTTTGTAACACTTGCAATTGCTGCTATTTCCCTGTGAGAATGTGTAGAATGAAGAAGAAAGGTTTTTACTTCCATACTTTTTCTTAGGGATAAGTCGGAAGGCTTGCCCATACTAAAAAAATCAATATGAGGTAAGAATGGTTACAAGTCAGGATTTATGCATTAAAATTAGCAAAAATAATAAATTATTAGCCTTAACTAATTGAACTATTAACCAATACTTAGGTTTTAATTGTTCTGAACTCGAAAAACTTGCAAAAAATTGTTCCAAAAATAAATAATTGAAATTAATTTTGAACTTACTCCAACCACACTTTTCAACAATTGACAGCTAATTAAATAATAACCTAACTTTTTGAAAGATACGGTGGACTGATAGTGTTGCCACAATTTGAAAACAATTATAATTATGTTAGTAACTAAAATACACAAGAAAAGTTATTTAAAAACAATTTATTTGCTCGCAATAATCATTAAAACTTTAAAATTATTAAAAAAGTAAAGTGTCCCTAATAATTTGGCAACCCACTGTATATGGTTAGTGTATTTGTGTTGTTTTTATTCTATTTTATATTCTTGTCCATAGTTTCTTTTATTTTTAGTCTTTTTTTTAGTTTTTTTACCTTTTTCTTATTTTTTAATAATATTTTTTCTGTTTTAAATGTATACCGTATTGAAAAATATGGTATACATTTAAATCATTTTAAAGTATATTTTTTGATTTGTTGATTTGTAACATCAAAAGAACCCTAGCAAGGTTGTGAGACTTAAGTCTTAATAGCAAGTCTCAGAGAGGCACTATTTATCAATAGAGTTAATGACCTCAAAATAGTTAGTACTTTACTTTTGTTGCTAACTATTTTTTTAAATGGTTTAAATTTAGCGTAAGTGTTTTTTAATTTACTACCTGCCATTAATCAATAATGCTGTTAAATTAAGAAAAAATTGTAAAATACTGTAAATTTTCAATCACATCTTTTTATATATAATTTTACAGTTTTCAGTAACTTGTGGGGCAAATTGAGACATTGAAAAATGCCCCTTCACCTTTAGGGATGGGGATGCAAATTATGTTTAGCCTCAAACAAAGCTTTCTATGGCATTGAAGTTTTGAAAACAAATTGTCATTGTTGCTACTTATAGTCACAATAATAAACTCAACAAAATATCAAAAAAGTGTTTTTCAAATAAAATAAAATTTTATAATCTGCTTCTCAGTGTTTTACCATGTCCTACAACTGGTTAAGTAAGACATAAATTTACCTATTAATTATTTTACTATTAAAAAATTTACCTATTAAAATTTACTATTAACAATTTACCTATTAAAAATTTACCTATTAAAAAATTTACCTATTAATTCACTTTTTTGAAAATCTCCTGAATTAAAAATTTCCAAGAAACTTTCATCTCTATTTGTGTGAACAATGGTTATATGTGTGCACTGTGCATTAAAAATTAAGATAGCACACATAATCAATTTTTTATCTATTCTAATGTTTTTATCATATTCTATTTATTTTTCTCTAGACAACACCAATTGAAGCTGATTACATTATATTTTGGAACAAAAAGTTAGGATCTGGTATTAGTGGACCAGTCAGGTAAAATTGTTATTTAGAATTCTTGTGTAATTGCCAATCTGAAGTATTTTATAATATTTTACTTTATGGTTACAATATTTTATTTAAAGTCATTTTGAAGCACAAAGCTTCACAATGACTTTGCAAATGTCTTTTTTGAGTGGGAAAAAGTTTAAAATTAAAGTTTAAATAACTAAAGAAAAGAAAAAGAAATTAAAAATAAATAAATAAAAGAGACCAAGTAATGAGAAAAGAAAATAAAGAGAATGAAAATATTTTAATTATTATTACAGTTATATATATAAGGTTCAGTTATTTTGTGTTTACCCAAGATTAGCAGAACTATTTGTAAATATCCATAAAAGTATGATTTCAGTATATACATGATTGATTGATTCAGAATATATATGTAGCTTTAAGGTTTTCTTTAAATTTTAGAAATAAGTTGATTTTAAATAAGTTAAGCTGGTATTAAATATTTTGATGCTAATTAATAGGTAAAAACAAGATAAAATAACATGAGATAAAAACAAAATAAAAAAAGATTTAATATGATAAAAAAAGTTCATAATTCAAAATTGTTTAATCTAACCTCATCTTTTATTTTTCTTTTAGGGAAACATTTTTCCCTAAAAGAAAAATAAAGAAGAGGTTAGATTAAACAAGATAAAATACTAGCTCTAATATGCTTTGAGAGTTATTACTATATATAAAAGATAAAATGCTGCAAATTGTAAGATAAAAAAAAGAAGAGTTTTGTGAAATGACACAAGATCTCATGGTGTTAGCCAGGAATTTATTTTTAACTGGGTTTTCGCTATGATGGGAATATTTATTGTTTTTGTTCTACAAAAAATAGGGAATTTTTATTGGTTTTGTCCTATTACTTCAAAAAAAAAATAAAAAATAAAGAAAAGGTCATTGAATTTTGAGAATTTTAAACTCATTAAGAATTCTGTGGTATATGGGTGCTATTGGGCTGGCTAACACCTTGGATCTGATGAAGCATGGTGAGATAAAACAAGTTACCTATATTAAGTGAGAAGTATCAAGTTTGTCCACCACCATAACCCTTGTAATTACCATGTTTGTTATAATAAAAAACTGTGCTAAATATGCTCCTCTGTCCAGTGGCCTTGTTTGTCAAGGTTTGTTTTTCTGAGTTTTAGTTTCAAAGTTTTTCTAAGTTTCAGGATTTGAGAGAGTATTGTGACTTTTTTTTTTTATTTTCTAAAATTAAGCATTTTTCTTAACTTTATTGGCCTCAGAAAATAGATAATCTGAAATGTGATAAAACTTACTAAAATGAAATGAGATAAGATAAAATAAATTAAGATAAGCAAGAGATAAAAAAGATAAAATACGAGTGTATAAAATTTAATAATATTGTATTATTGTCTAATATATAATAAACACTTAATCTGTATATAAAAAAAATAAATCTGTAGGTTTTTTTTTACACAGATTAAATATTTGATTTTAACTATTTTGATTATAACAAAGTTTACAGAGAATTGTAAATCTCATAAATTAATAGTAATAACTGAAAGAAAACGGAAAACTGTTTGGTTGTCAAGAAAATAATGTTAATGGTAAAACTTAACAGTCAAAGAAATAATCAACTTAGTATAAAGAAACTAATAGATAAAATATTATGAACAATATTGATGTATATGTATGCAATAATTAGTCCATACCAATACATCAACTAAATGTTTTGGATAGCAATGATGTTTTCATTTTTTCTTTTTTTTTCATTCTTTTTTATATATAACTAAATAACTTTTTTTTCTTATTTTGTCATGATCAAACATGTTTATAAAAAATCTGATTTGTAAAATATTTTTTTTATTCTATTAGTTTTTTTTGTTTTAGAATTTGTCAAAGTAGAACAACAAATGAAAAATTTGCATTTAAATGCTTGGTTGATCGTCCAAAGGCCAGGATAGAAGTATTGCTTTTTAAAATTGTTTAAATCAAGTTAAATTTTTTCAACTTCAAAGTTTATTTCAGGATTTTTAAATATGTAAACAAGCTAAAAACATTGCTTGATTTTTTTGAGTTTAAAATATGTGATGAGAGTATTTAGAATATCTCTCTACATCTCATTTTAATAATTATTTTTGATACATTTATGATATTTTCCTAAAACTAAAACTACCATTAATTTAATTTAACATAAAAAAAAAATCTTATCTTAAACCTTCTCATCTTCAAACTTTCTCATGAAAACATCTTTAAACCTTCTCATCTTTAAACCTTCTTATTTTTAAACCTTCTCATCTTTAAAGGGATCCCAAACTCCCAACACATGTTGTGTTTATATTAAAGATAATGTTAAAAAAAAAGGTTTAAACCAAGTTTTTTTGATTAAAAATATATAATGAATGTATACCAAGAAAAAATAACGTTGTTGTTTTAGCCGAAGCTCGCCTTCTCCATTTTTTTCAATAACTCGGAGTCTTTAAATTATACGTCGCAATCTACAGACTTTAGGATTCCTTTGAAGCGCGTTTAATTCAGTTTTAGTATTTGACGTCACGGTAGACTTAACAAATAAAACTCTGGAAATATTTTTATTTATTTTTAATCGAACTTTTTTTGATTATTTGTTTAGCTTTTTTTTTTTTTTAACATTTAAAAAGATATTAAAAACCTCAAATATTTTATGGTGGTTTGTTGCTATAAATTGTTATTGCGCCATATATTTAATGTTTATAAGTTATGAATATTTATTATCTCAATCAAGACTCTGGTAAAAAATTGTTTTACATTAATTACCAATATAAAATTAGTAACAGCATTTTTATTTGGTTAGACGATATTTTGTCTCAATTTGCTTTGCATGAAGTTCAGGAAGTCAAACAAAAAAAATTAGTTTGAATAATCACTTTGAAGTATATTTAAAACAAATAATTTTAATGACAGGGGTTTGAAAGTTTTTATAACAAATGTAGGTAAAAAATAAATAACTAAATAAAAATTTCAACATTAAACATCATTTCTTTATTATATTGCAACTGTAAATATTAAAATATCAACTTGAACTAAATTTACTTATTATTTAGAACGACTAAGCAATAAAAATAAAAAGCCCCTAAAATTATGTGATATTGTGTTGTTTAATTGATAATTGTTGTTGGTAATGTTGTTTATGTTGATTATTTTCATTAATATCAAATAGTCCCAGATTAATCTGTTAGTTGCTTTGTTCATTGTTGATTTATTTCTTATTTAATTTTATCTCCAAGTATAAATTTATGTTAAGAAAGAAAAGTTTTTAATTCATCGTTTTTTATAAGAGTAGAACAAAAGAGAAAGAAAAGTTTTGCGTAAGTAAACTTTGAATGAATAAGAGTTGTATAGAATATATATATTTTTTTGTGTCACTCGTTCTTTTTTTTAGATGAGAGAAATAAAAGTTTAATAGTAACTTTTCTTTGAATAAATGAGAATTGGAACAGAAAATCGCTTGAAAATTTCTATTGTTAATTGTGTTTTAAAATTTTTTTAATTTTTTATATCAAGAGACAAATGCCAAATACGAAACAAATTGGGAAATACCAAATATATAGTTTTTTAATGCGTGTTATGACATTTTGACAATTTAAATTACCATTTATCTTGAATTATTGCCATTAATTAAGGTGTTAATTATTGGTTATATAATAATAATTTGTCCGTATTTTGTTAAATATTAGTTGTATAAAATGGGAGAAAATATACAACATCATGTTTTTTATTTGATGGTTATAAAATATTGAACAGTAAACTTAAATTCAAAATTTATAATGCTGACTTGTGTTGTTAGTAATTGTACTTTTAATGCAAAATCAGGATCTCACATATCCTTTCACGAATTTTCATATCTGATACTACTGTCAACTTTATTGTTTAGTGTATTCTTGTACTTTTTTTTTCATAACCTTAACAGGTTCTAATTGGTATGGAGTTGCCGACATTTTAAAAGTTTCATTATCAAAAATCAAATGTAAAATAAAATGATATTTCCTTTTTTTATAATAAAAAAAGTTAACAATTCATCAAATATCTCTAATTAATACTGTCAGTTTATTAAATTAATTGTTAATAAATACTTTTTTTCGACGGGAAAACAAAAAATATCATAGCGTAAAATTAACCAGAGAAGTTAGAAAATAGTTCTCATTGTTTAAATAAAAATAAGTAAGATTCAGATTATATAATACTGCGCTCTCTTGCACAAAAACGAGAGACCCTATACATAACGTTCATATAACGTATACATAATACTCGTATGAAAATCTTAAGATTCGTAAGTAAATTTAAAAACAAAAGAATTATAAGATATATAAATCTAAAAATTGTTAAGATATTGGTAAGAAAAAGTTCCTCTTATGAAATAAAAAGCTTTTATTATTTTTGATTTTTACAAAAATTTGTTGTAAAAGTTATTTTGCTGTATGTTAAAAAATTACTTTTTGAATTAAAGTAGAAAAATGCAGCTTTGTTTAATTATACTTTTCTTTTGTTAAAAATTTACCTTGACGTCAAATGCTAAAACTTTTATGAATTAAATGCGCTTTAAAAGAGTTCTCATCTTTAAACCTTCTCATCTTTAAACCTTCTCATCTTTAAACCTTCTCATCTTTAAACCTTCTCATCTTTAAACCTTCTCATCTTTAAACCTTCTCATCTTTAAACCTTCTCATCTTTAAACCTTCTCATCTTTAGAATAGTAAATTAGCTGTAAAAATGTAGATAACAAACAGAATTAAAATACAAGAATTTTCAATGATAAAATTATTTATAATGATCTTTTTTAAACTTAACAACATTGTGAAAATCTTTTTAATACATAACAATTTGAAAAAATTTAGAGTAAATAATGATCTAAAAAAAAAGTTGTTATGTAATAGTCTATTAATATTAATAACATTGTAATAATAATTTTTGACTATAAAAAAAGTGAGAAAATGGCTGAAAATTTGAGTTTTTCTTACTTTTAAATAAATAAATGATCTGTTTGTTCTACTTATGAATGAATTAATAACCTTGCTATGCTAACTATGAATGAATTTATGACCTTGCTATATTTTTTTTTTTATAGTTTAAAAAATTGTTGGTTTTGAATAAAATTTATTCTGGAATTTCCATAATACTTTCCATAGTATTCAATGTTTTATAATATTGGTATACTCTGGTGTTTTTACTCAGTTATTTTGTTGTGTTAGTAAGAATATAAAAACTTTAAAGTTTATGAAGAATATAAAAACTCTTTAAAAGTTTGCAAAATCTTTTATAAAAATAGTTTAACAATCATTTATAGCTGTCTTCCTAGCGTCTCTAATTTTATTAATTCACACAATAAAAAATATTACCTAAGTAAAAATATTATTTACACCTGCAGCGTAAAAACATCACTGCAAGATATTGGTTTTAATTATATTGTTTTAATGGAGCACACCTTTGAAGATGGCTGGTACAAACATAAAAACTTCTTATAATACAAAAGTAAAGCAAAATCCACATATCTTTCTAAATATATCTGGGAAATCAAATTAAGAGAGATTTTCAAATTCTATTATTACGTGAAAGATTGTTGATAGGACGAAGCCATTGCAGAAAAGTTGTGTAATCTTTGCTTAAGCAAAAAATATCATTATGCTGTCTTAAAAACTAATGAACAAATAAAATGAACTTGTATCAAAATGTCGCCTTGAAAATAAATTTTTTATCTGCAACTTTAACGTTGTCTAAGCCTATACTGTATTGTATTTTTAAATATATATTTTTTTATCAATAGGGTTGTTTATAACATCTGATGATCACATAAAGCGTGAAACTCCAAGTTATGTTTCAAGTTTATTTATGATTTTTTTATTATTATTCCAATATATATATTTTTTATAATTATATAATAATATTGCTAAGAACTTTTCATCAATATCATCTCTTGATTCCACTAGTTGCATTCTACCTTACATGGAAGTCAAAAAGGTTGATCCATTGCTTGACATTCGTATCTCTTCAGCTTCTGTATCTAAAGTAATTTCCTGCTTAGACTATTCTACAGCTTGTGGCTCGGACAATCTTAATCTTGAATCTAATAACTTACTTTCTGATCATCAATATGGATTTTGATCATCTCGTTCTACAGCTGATTTGCCTACAGTAATAACCTATAGGTTTTATCGTACATTAGATAAAGTTGGAGAGGGTAAAGCCATCGCTCTTGACACTTCTACAGTGTTTGATAAAGTTTGGCATGCTGGTTTTCTCCATAAGCTTTCTTCTTACGGTGTATTTGGAAACATCTTCAAGATTGTTGAATCCTTCCTTTCCAATTGTCGTATAAAAGTTGTCCTCGATGGGCAGCACTCTTTTTCTTATTCTGTTACCTCAGGGGTTCCTTAAGGTTCAATCCTTAGCCCTATACTCTTTAATTTACATTAACGATCTTCCAGATATTTTCACATCTAAGGTGGCATTGTTCACTGGTAATATTACCATTAATTCTTGTCATGATAATAAGCCAAATCTCTCTGATTGCTTAGAGGGGGCATTTGAGCTTGAAAAGGATCTCACTTCTGCTACAGCATGGGGCTCCCAGTGGTTGGTGAACTTTAATTCAGATAAAGCTCAATTTTTTTCAGCCAATCATTATTGCAATAGTTTAGACCTTTCTATATTTATGAAGGGTAATGTACTCGATGAGTCATCTCCCCTTCATCTTCTAGGATTGACTCTTACTTCTGATCTTTCTTAGAAACCATATATCAAATCCGTTGCAAAATTAGCATCTGCTAAAGTTACATCTCTACACTTTCTTACTCTAAATTCTATTCTCTATCTCTATAAATCTCAAATCCGACCTTCTATGGAATACTGTAACCATATCTGGGGCGGATCTTCTAATGATGCCCTTTTCTCTTTTAGACAAGGTACAAAAACGCATTGTAAACATAGTTG